TCGAGTCGGATCTCCTATAGTCAGATCGACCTTGGGAAGACGAGCCCTTGTCCTTAGACTTAGAATCAGACTTCCCTTCTCTTGGCCGCTTGACTTCTTCTAGTCAGACCTGTTGTCTGCCCGACCCAATTTGGTTATGAGCAAGTCTTACCCGTCTATAACCTTCTTGGCCTTCTGCAAGACCTCAGCGAAGGTCGATGGCGCTTCTTCGCCTAGCTTGATTGTCAAGGTCTCATCGGCCAGGCTAGTGAGGAAGTAGCACATGGCCGAATCGTCAAAGCAATGCGCAACCTTAAGCTGCTCCTCTTGGAAGTGGGTTACGTACTCTCTCAAAGTCTCACCTTCTTTCTGTCGTATGGTGGCGAGATGAGTGGTTGTCTTCCTGTCATAATGCCGAGAAGAGAATTGGCTGATGAATTCATTCCTCAGCTGACTGTAGGTCGAGATCGACCTTGCTGGTAGATTTCTGTACCAGAGCCGAGCACTCCCCATTAGAGTGATCTGAAAAGCTCGGCACTTAATGGCATCTGACGCCGCTTGGAAGTCCATGAGGCCTTCAAATACCTCCACATAGTCTTTTGGGTCTTTAGACTCGTCATAAGGCTTCATATCGGGTGTTTTACACTTTGGAGGAATAGGGCCTCCAAAACGTCCGAAGTGAACGGCGACTCACCCATCTCGCTGTCATCAAAAGGACTCTCTTTCTTTTTGCACTTCGCCCTAAGTGCCTCAATCGCTCGTCAAACCTATTTTTCATCAGGTCGAACTCTTCCCTCGTTATGACAGCCTCTAGAGTTAGTGGTGTATACTTTGACTAGGCCTTGAGGTCGGAGTTTGAATATTTATGGGAGCAAGATGGAAAAGCCCCTGGGCCTCGTGAGGCATTCCTCTTCTTTTCAACAAGGTGCTTCCTGAGGTCATGATCCTTCAGACAATAGTCGACCCCTCCCACATCGACAGCGGGCTGATAGTCATCGTGGTGGGGGGCGGATCTTAGTCAT